GTCATAACACATTACTATGTATCTAAATAACCTCAAAAATCTTGATATTGATTACCCGCGAAAGTTAGAACTTGATCAATTCATGCTTTTTCTATTGGTCATAAGGTCAATATACCAAATCAGTCGATCAACAGTCATCATCATTGGCATCTAGCATGTAATCGTTTGTCTGCGCAAAAACTAGAAACTACATTATTTATAACATTTTCAAAAACGTATTCAAATGATTTAAATTTTAAGAAAGACTTTGACATATTTTAGAATCGTCTAAGTCTTGTGTTTGATACCGTTCAATGCTTTTTTTTTCTGTGTAGAAGCTTGATGGTTTTGAAAGTCTGATAATTCTTAAATCATAAAAAGAAAGATCAATGCTATTTTTAAATACATGCATTTGTCAATTTGATTATTTTTCATTCTGTTAAGTTTCGTTAATATATCAAGCTCGTCTAATTAGTATGACTAGAATATTACTAGATATGTACTCAAATTAGTACTATCAGAAGCATTGATACATATTTTCAGTCGAATTGTATCATCTATTAAATATATGACAATATTTGATAAAATCAGAATAATTTATATCAATTCATTTTTTTTTTGCAAATAATATGATAAATTCTTATCAAGTCTTCTACAGTAACAATATTATTAAATATTGATAATTTATTAAAATTGTTTTTTCAAATGATTCATTTTTGTCCTGATTTTTTTTTTTTAAATTTTGAAAAACAAAAAACATATTAAACAACTTACGTAAATGTCGATTAGATTTTTTAACTAATGCAATAAGAAAACGATTTAATAAATTTAAATCAAATTTTTCTATATATTCAGTTTGTACTAATGTTGTAAATAAATGTCTTAAAAATGGACTTTCACTTGATGACATACGTATATCTAATTTAACTAATGCTGACATTATATTAACATGATCTTCAAAATTTAATTCAAGTAAACGATGTTCACATAAATGACATAGAAGATCAAATATTGGATGATTTAAAAGTTTTTTACGATAATTTTCCATATTTATTGGATGAAAATAAGCACATGAACGTACTATATTACATGCACGAAGTAATGCTGCTGCTATATGTTGAGCTCGATGTTGAGGTAAATTAGCACGAACAAGTGGAAATAATGTTGATAAAGATGAACATGATTGGATAGATTGCATTAATGTATCATTAAGAAATATTTTTGTTTGAATAGAATCTTCTTCATCTATTTTAAATTGATCATGAGATGTATAAGTATCAGTTAATGTACGAATATATGGTTTTATTGTCCATATATTTTGTTTTAGATAATAAAGAAATAATGGACGATAATAAATTAAATGCATAAATTATAATATATATTTTTGTTGTTAATGAATATAATTCTAAAAAATATTTATTAAAATATTATCAAAATATTTTTTCATTATGAATTATTATTATTCTAAATTCTTTACTTCTTAAATTGAAATAGAATATTTATATCTTCAGAATATCCATATTATGGATAAATTGATCAAATATATTTGCGTTTGTAACGGATGTTTTATCACTTCAGTGATTTTTGAGAAGAGAAAGACTTGATGAAAATTCTCTTAGATATCTGAGTTCGATCAATCATTATGTCCAGCAGAAAAAAAAACAAACTTGAAATTGAATTTCAGACACCAAAAAAAAACCTAGAGATTTGCTTTTCTAGAAACATCGTAGTGATCATTTTATATATTATTATCATCTCGTATTTTATAAAACTTTCGAATCGTATTAATATTAGTAGTAGCAATAATCATCATCACGATCTATTACACACGACATGTGAGATTCAGTAATGGAAAAACACTTTTCTTTTTTTTTTTTGAATATTTTATCATAATACAGATGCCACAGGCTGTATGAATAAATAAAAAAACTTATACATCCTTTCTATTTCTTTTACTTTTCTATGTATTCCGTTGGCTACGGACGAACGATTTACATGTCATACCAATAAATGATTATATTCAATGTTATGTATTTTTATTACCATGACTATACTTGTTTTTCATTCATGACTATTACTATCAAGCAATTAGAAAACTGCGAATAACTTTATCCTAGAAAAAAAAAATGAGTGGACTCTTTCAACGTGTAAAAAATGCATTCAAAAGAAATCCTTCGTAAGTGATACATAAAAAACTGTTTTACTTTTGGAATATAATTTTTAGTTCTGAAAATATACCAACTAATTCAACTATAGATTTTGATAATGAAGAAATAGATGATACTAATACAAGACAACCTTATCGTCAAGTAAGAGAATTTCAATTGTATTTATTAATTAATATAATTTTTCAAGAATGAAGATCTAGATGATATGAACGATGAAATGGAAAATGTCACATATAATAATCGATCACAACTAACAAATCTTCGACAACAAGTAAAATTTGTTTTTTTTTTTGATTAGTAAATTATCTTTACATCATTTTTTATTTTCTAAGCAAAGAGAAACAATACCATCAGATGAAAATTCTCAACCATCTTTATTGAATACTCGTAATACTAATTTGAGAAAAAAACCAAATGATTTTCAATCTGGTCAATCACATACTAATGTCATGAATAGAAATGTAAATTCTTCAGTAAATAACAATGTTGTTCCAATAACAAATTCTACTATACAAGAACGTTTACCATTTCAATCTCAAAATCAAGATCTTTCTTCTCGTCCATCACAACAACAAACTATGCCACAAGCACCAATTAATAATCTTTCACCAGGACAAAATCATCAACAATCATCAATACCTTCAACAAATCAAATTCTTCAATCTTCATTACGTAATAATTTTTTATCTGCTATGAATCGAAATCGACGACCATTTCAAATCAATCGTAATTCAACATTGATTGGTTTTCCTCGAGATTTAAATACACGTTTACATAATTCATCATATAGTTTTAATAGACCTTTCTTTTCTAATCAATTAAATCGATCTTTTTTCAAAAATCGTTTATTACCATTTCAAGCCGATAGACAAATTTCTAATTATAAATTTGATTATCCAATTGAAAATGTTTTTATCGATAAAAATATTCCTTCATCAATAGCAATTAAAATAAATGAAGCTGTCGAATATGATCGTTTTGGTAATATGTATCATAATCATCATTATGCATATGAACCAACAATTCAACATATGAATTTTGATAATAATCAACAAATTGATCGTCATATTATTGGAAATTCTCATCCTAAAGGTATAAGATATATACGAGAAATTCACAATGATTCTTCTTTCAATAGAAGAAATTACAATTGTTATCCACAAGAAATAGATGATGAAATTTTTCAAAAACAAAATTATAATAATCTACAATTAATGATTGATTGTATACCTGAAATTAATTATCAAACAATATCATCTCAAGATAATTTTAACTATTATCCAATGCCTATAAAACATTATATAGCATGTGCTCTACCTTATGATCCAATGCGAATAGAATAAAACATAAGAGAGAAAAAAAACACTAGAGAGATTCATTTATTTTAATAAAATAAATTAGTATATAACTAAAAAAAAAAAATTATTGTGGGATAAAATTTAATGCTACACCATTTATACAATAACGAAGACCAGTTGGCATAGGTCCATCATTAAAAACATGACCAAAATGTGCATTACACTTTGAAGAAAAAAAAAAAAAAAACAAAGAAAATGTTTTTGTTTTTGTAATATTTTGGTTTTCATATACCTTTGCACAATGAACTTCAGTTCGAGGATACATTAAACTATAATCTTGTTTTGTACCAAGATTAGCTGATTGATATGGAGAATAAAAACTAGGCCAACCAGTACCACTATCGAATTTATGTTCTGAACTAAATATTCAAAAAACAAAAAAAAGAAATGAGTAAGAAAATTTATTATTTATTTTAACAACCTGAATACTGGTGTATTGCATACAACACAAGTATATAAACCACGTTGTTTATTATTATTCAATGGACTAGAATAAGGTGGTTCTGTATCATGATGTTGAGTGACTTTTAAAGCCATTGGAGAAAGATGATTCAAATTCATATTATCTTTTGATAATGAATTAGAATCTAGAATAAATTTATTCAGTTAAATAATATTATTTTCAAATATGTAAAAATTACTTGCTTCTGATATTGATGATGATGATGAATCTTTTCGAAAAATATTTGCAAAAAACCTCGACATATTATATATATATATTAATTATTGCTTGGTCATGATAAGAAAGCACATTTCTTTTTGATGATATCAAAATTGTAATTATTCTATACTCTAAAAATAACCAATATGTATTATATAATAAAAGATTTCTATCATAATCATAACTTGTTTTCTTTTTTCAATGAAAACGCCATCTGTATGTATTTATTGAGTGATAGAATTTTCATTCGTTTATGAAAATAAACGAATCACATATGAAAGTCTGTCTGTCTCTACTTGTCGGTCGTGAAGAATTCAAATTAAAAAAAAATGTTCAAAAAAGTTCTTTATATAGTTCAAGTTTTTGTTTAATATGGGTTAGTTTATTGATTTTATATTGGAATAAAAGTGATTTATATTCATTTTTTTAGTATCGGATTAGAAAATAAACTAACAAATAAAATTAAAAAAAACGTCAAGATAAAGTCTTTATCGAATTAAATTTATTATCAAATTGTGGTGTTTTACTTTTGTTATTGAAGTTTTTATACAATTAAAAGCAAAACAAAATTCATTTAATATACGTTTTTAATAGTCATAATAATTATGAATTTCTTTTTTTTATTAATTTAAGATATAAAAGTTAACTTGAAAATTTATTTTATAAATAAATAATGAATGTATTGAAGATCATCTTATTAGATATATATTCACATAGATATGAATATATTTAATTTATACATACATAAAAAAAAAAAAAATATTTTCATAATAAAAATTTATTCGTTTTTTTTTATGTTAATTTCGAATAAAAAAATTTCTTCTAGATGTCAAAATGAATATTGAATTACTTTCAACATTTCAACAAAATTATCCAGAAGAATTTGATGGCACACTCGATTGTGCATCGATGGCTGTTTGTTGTGCTTTTAATAAAATTGGTAATTATTTATTTTTGAAATGAAAATAAAAAATTTTCTTTTCTTTTTTTTTTTACAAAATAAAGGTTCAATGTTAGCTGTCGGTTGTTCTGATGGTCGTCTTGTTATATGGGATTTTTTAACACGTGGTATAGCAAAAATAATATGTGCAGATTGGTCACCTATATATTCAATATCATGGTCAAAAAAATCCGATTTAATAGCAACATCATCAACAGATAATACTGTATGTATTTGGTATACAACAACAGGTCGTTGTCATATACGTATATCATGTATACAATCACCAATACTTAAAATTCAATTTCATCCACGTAATTCATTTTATTTACTTATATGTCCAATGAAACATCCACCTGTATTAATTGATAATAATGGTAAACATACAATAGTTACAATTGATGATGAATCAAATGATATTATATCAACATTTGATAGAAAAGGTGAACATATTATATTAGGTAATAATCGTGGTTTAATTATTATTAAAAAATTTCCGGATTTAAAAACAATTTCATCATTTCGAATTACAACTGGTACTAATGCAAATACAGTTTTAAGACATATTGAAATACCTCGTCGTGGTAAGATTATATATATATATTTATTTATTGATTATTATTTGAATGGATTAAATTTATTATGGAATGTCTATACAGATAGTCTTTAATATTTGGTTATTTCAAGAAGAGAGCCGTTATTTTACCTAAAACATTTCGAATATTGAAATTTATTCTTAGAGAAAATTTCAAGTTATAAATATTTTGTTCATATTCTTAGACAAGAAGTTTATCTGTGAATCTTTAGTCAGAATATTTTGCAGGTACAAAAGACATTTTGAATATTTTCGTATAAAAGTTCTCTAAGAGAGAGAGTGAAAAACCTTAGTAGCTATATATTATACATGATCTTTGTTTTCTTTTTTTTTTACTTAGGTCAATATTGTCTTATTAATACAAGTGATCGAATAATTCGAATTTATAATTATACTGAAATGTTATCATGTGGTATTATTCGTGATCTTGAACCAAAACAAAAACTTCAAGATTTAGTTAATAAATCATTATGGAGAAAATGTTGTTGGTCAGGTGATGGTGAATATATATGTGGTGCATCATCTCGTCAACATTCATTATATATATGGGAAACAATATCGGGTAATTTAGTTAAAATTTTACATGGTACTAAAGGTGAAACATTATCTGATGTATGTTGGCATCCTGTACGTCCAATAATAGCAAGTATATCAAGTGGTGTTGTATCAATATGGTCATATTCTCAAGTTGAAAATTGGTCAGCATTTGCACCAGATTTTCGTGAACTTGAAGAAAATGTTGAATATCATGAACGTGAATCAGAATTTGATATTAAAGATGAAGATCATAGTTTAGATAATTCAGATTATATATATTCACCTAATAAACGACAACGTTTTGATATTAATGGTAATATTAAAAAATTTAATAATGATGATATTGAAATAGATGTTGTTACTGAACAACGTATTGAAGCATTAGTATCAAGTGATGATGATGATATTAATGATCAACTTGTTTATTTACCATCAGCACCTGATATTGAAGATCCAGATATTGATATAACATTATCAATAACAAAAAATCAAATATTAACACAAAATTTTATTGAAACTGATCAAAAATATGAAATACAATTACAAATACCACCTATTTATGATACACATCCATATTATGGTGGAACAAAACAAACACGATCAATAGGAAATATACCATTAAATAATCATGATATTAAAAAACATGGTAGACATCGTCGTAAAGGATATTATAATAATAATAATGATCAACAAAATATTTTATTACCAAAATCAATTGATACAACTGTAGTTACAATTACAAATAATTCAAAACGATTTATATCAACGAATGGTAATTCAACAATAGTAACACAAACATCTGAAAATAAAGGACAACGAGGACGTTCAGCACGTCTCGAAGGAAAAAAAACAACTACTAGTCAACATAGATCATCAACAGATAATGATATAGATTTTGTACCACATTAGAATATTATTATTATTATTTTTTTTTTTTCGATAATAGAATCTCTTATGTATGAATCCTTTTTTTTTTGTATAGATTATTTTCTTTTTTGTTTACTGGGACGTAAAGAAATGATTTTTTTTTTCGTCAGTAAAAGATTATCTATGACTTGAGAAAAAAAAAAACAAAAATTTTGTTAGAATTGTAAAATAGAATGTTAAAAAATGTGTTTATATAAATGTATTCATTGATCATGATCTTTAATAAAAAAAAAGAATCCCTAAAACGCACACGTAATTTCATTGCATCAAAAAATTTCTTAAAAAATTTTGTTAAATCTACATCAAAATAAATTTTTCATTTCTTTATTAAATACAAGAAAAAAAAACAAGAAACATCGTCTAAAAAATAATACGCTTTGATTTCCTAAGTTGACACTAATGAAGGAATCATCTGAAGAAATTCATTACTTTTAAACTCATATTTTGCATATCTAGAGAAAGGTTCTAGATGAGAATAATTTCAAAGATATTCAGTATTATCAATGAAGTTATGATAGTTTTACTAAATTCTTATCATAGAATGAACTATTAACAAAAAAAAACCGAATAATGAGTTTTTATCTTGAAATCTTATTTGTAAGTCTCATTATCTTAAAAGTTTTAATCAATATTATGGTTTTCTTCTCAAAATATTCTATATTTTAACTGAAGCTTTGCATTGAATTGCAAAACTCGACTCTATCATACATACAGTATTTTATCCAGAGGGATGCCCGGGGGGGGGCGCCCCCCTCCCCCCCGAAAATCGAGTTCGCCCTCCCGAGACTTGTGATAATCGTGCTACGAATACATGGCTTGCCCCCCCGAACATAGTTTTTCGCCTCCTCGGAAATTCAAATCGCCCCTCCGGAGAAAAAATCCTGGATAAAACACTGCATACATAGTCGGAGTCACTTCAATAAAATAGCTCAACGCTTTTACTTCTACATAAACTTAAGTGCGCAGGATTATACTTTCAATCAAAGAAGAACAAACTGATTATTGTTAATTTTTTTCTAGCATAGAAATTCGTTTGTTCTTCCGTCAGTTTCAACAAAAAAGTCATATATTTTGATTGCCATCCCATGATAAAAATCTAACAAATCTATGAAAACTCATCGAGAACGCTTATATTCTTGAATATCTTTCGAGTTGTTTGAGTCCAAATATATTTTGTATAAACAATAAATATAAACTCAAAAAACAATGAATCATTTATATTATTTTTCAATTTTTCCAAAATTTTATTAAATGTTTAAATATTTCTAAATAAAAGCATTTCTCTACAGCATATTTATCAAATTATAGTAAAGAAAATAATTGTTCAAAATAGAGATTATTCATTTCTTGTTAATTTGTCCATGAATTGAATGAAATGTCATTTTTATTTCATTCATACGACTTGTACATTCATCAAATGTATGACAATAATCAAATGGTGGTACATAAAGATGTAATGTAATAGCTCTTTCTGTATGACTTGGATTTTCAATACGATGTAAACCAATTGAATCATTAATATAAGCAACTTGTCCTTCAATTAATTCAGTACGATTAATTATATGCATTGATTCTTCTTTATCATTTGTTGGCCAAGTATATCGTGTTTCAATTAATTTTCCTTGTAAACATTTTAAAAAACAATGTGAATTTGTATGATCATGTATTGATGAACCTTGTCCTTCAGCCCAACATAAAATCATTAAATTAAATTTTCCATTTCCAATATCAACTAAATTTCTTGTATAATAATTTGATTGAAATTTAATAAATGGTAACAATTCAATCATTGTACCTTTATAATTATTCATAAGTGTATAAACATAATCAATATTAATTTCATTTGTTAAAAATGCTTCATAAAGTAATTCAATTAATTTATTTAAAGAATTTGGTTGAATTGATAAATAAGATATATCATTATTGAAATATTTCTTATGTATTAATTGAATTTCATTTGATTCATTCAATGTTTCTGTCATTGTTATTGAATAAGATTAAGATTATTTGAAAGATTTTATGTTTATATCGGATACATATACTATATATATATATCCGTATGTCAAAAACTAAATTCATAATCTTTAATCAATATGAAAACGAAAAAATTTTGATCTTATTTATATGTCAGATATAAAATATTGTAACCAACCGGAAGTAACAAAAACAAAAGTTCAAGGATATGATATTAAAAACAAATGAATTTGACTTATTTAACTTACTATAGCAAAACATATTATTATTTTTCTTTTTTGTATCAAAAATGAAAACATTAAATATGATTTTAAGATAAAATATTCAGTTATTTCTTTTCTATTTTAATTATTGTTCAAAATTCTAATGTAGAATATCGTATTGTTTTTATTTTTCATTTCCTTTTGATCAATATTGAAAGTCTTATACTCCAGATGTCCTTCCATACATATCGGTTGATCCCTTTATTCGTTGTTATTTTCTTCCAACCATTCTTAATTAAACTGTCTTTCTTGACAACCGATATTTTAACAACACAAACAGATATTAATTCTACTTTACAAATGGCGACTATACCAACTAATTCAATAGGTTTTGAAGAAGAAGCTAAAAAGGCTCGTGAATATTATATGTGTAAGATGAAATTTTATTAATAAAAGATTTTTTCTATTTGAAAATTCAATATATATGTATATTTAGATGGTGATTATGAACGTGGTATAACATTTTATGGATTAGCTATTGCTAAACTTCGACGTTATTGTTATACATTATCAGATGCAACAGAAAAAAAACGTGGCAATGAGGTTTATTGATGAATTTTCATTATTTTTCTTACATTTGTTTGATTTCTATTATTAGTGTATAATTGAACTTGAACGAGAACTTCAATCAACAATAGACCATAGACAAATGATTGAAGTAATTCATGCAAATTTATTAGCAAAATTTACGAAAGGTGATGTGCGAGCAATTGGTGGTGATGCTAATATTGATATAAATTTTGGACATCCTTTTTATAATCCAGCTGTTGATGGACGTCCAATACGTGATATTGATTTTAATAATCGAAATCCAGTTCAAGCAGTCGCTCCGTAAGACATATGATGTAAGATTTTTTTTTAAACAGAGATTTTATTTTTTTTTTTGTTTTGTACATAGATCTCAACCAGCACCTGCACGTCCTCAAGGAATTGTTCGTGATATAAAATCAGCCAATAATAATCAAAGAGGAAGAAAAGCTCCACAAAGTGCTTCTAGTAATAAACAAAAACAATCTGATAATAAACGTGATAATAATCAACCAAATAATCCAGTCAGTTATTTTTGTATTTTTTTTTTTTAATAAAATAAATATTTCTTTATTATTATAGGAAAAAAAATATGTACCTACAGCAGCAGAAAAAGATTTAGTAGAAGGTTTAGAACGTGATATTGTTCAAAAAGATCCAAATGTTCGATGGTATAGTATATTTAAAAGTTTATTTAATAGATCGATGTAAATAGTAAAAAGAAAAACAATATATTGACTTAAAAGGATTAAGAAAGCAACGATGACTTAGAAGATCGATTGTAAGATTTTTTGATAAAATCGAAATTTCTCAAGATTAACGAAGGTTGACCCTCCCCTCTCGCAATACTCCTGAGTACACATGTATTTAAACATCCGATTTACTCAATAAACTTCATAGTCTTGTCTAGAGTCCATCGGACACGACATTTTTGAACACATTCTCTTATACCTATTAATTCTGAAGCAAATTGTCTATAAGACAATAATCATTTTTTTTGTGTTTTAAAAATAAGTTTTCGATGAGAAAATGATTAATTGATAGAAAACAATTCTCTCGTAAATCTGATAATCTTATATTAATCAAGTCATAATTGACTGTCGATATGAGAATATAAAACTCATTGAGTTAATCTCCAATATGTTTTACAAGAAATTTTCAGACTCGAAACCGAAATCAATCTGATTCGTTCTAGTCCTATGACTAATATTTATTGTAAAGATAAAATGAATTGAATTCTAATATTGATTAAAATTTACTTGAAAACTAATTTTCATTCATATGAAGGGGAGATGTTGCTGGTTGTGCAGCTGCTAAAAAATTACTACAAGAAGCTGTTGTATTACCACGTTTTATGCCAGATTTTTTCAAAGGCATTCGTCGTCCATGGAAAGTATGTTTATATATATAACTTCATATAGAAATCAATTTCTTTTGTAATATATTAGGGTGTGTTGTTATTTGGTCCTCCAGGTACTGGAAAAACAATGTTAGCTAAAGCAGTAGCAACAGAATGTAAAACAACATTTTTTAATGTTGCTGCTGCAAATTTAACATCAAAATATCATGGTGAAGGTGAAAAACTTGTACGTTTACTTTTTGAATTGGGTAAATTTTATGCACCATCAACAATATTTATTGATGAAGTTGATTCATTATGTTCAACACGTGGTCAATCAAATGAACATGAAGCTAGTCGAAGAGCTAAATCTGAATTACTTATTCAAATGGATGGTGTAACCGGTGCTGTCGGTAATGAATTTTTTTTTTGTTTTTGTTTTGATATTTTCAATTTATATTTTTCTTTATTGATAGGAAGTGATGATCCATCAAAGATGGTTATGGTATTGGGTGCAACTAATCATCCTTGGGATCTTGATGATGCAATGCGAAGACGTCTAGAAAAACGTATTTATATTCCATTACCAGATTTTGAAACACGAAAAGAATTACTTACTATAAATTTAAAAGAAGTTCCACTTGCTAAAGATGTTGATTTAGATATTATTGCTAAAAAACTTGATGGATATTCTGGTTCAGATATAACTAGTGTTTGTCGGTAAATATAATTGATTTATTATATGATTTTTATTAACTTTTGTTTTTTTTTCTTACAAAAATATAATTTAGAGATGCAGCTATGATGCAAATGCGTCGAGCAACAGAAAATTTAAGTATGACTCAAATTCAAGAACAAGCACAAGATTTAAAAGAAAA